GGTTGTGTCACTGAATATTTGGATACCTAACTTTATCATGAGTATAATCTTTTTATTTTTTTTTACATCGCTGAATATGGAATTTGTGACACTGTACAGTTAAAATATGGCATAAATCTGCAATAAATTTGCTATTTTTGTAGAGTTTGCCATAGGTAATTACCATTTTGAGGTACTTTAAAAAAAGGCAAATCACATCACTTCTGTGCAACTTTACTATGCCTTTAATGCTAGTATACCAATGAATGTGAAATGTTTTATAAATAAAAGCTTCATCTGTGAATGACATTTAGAGAGTTGTTTTTTCAGTTTTGCGTTGGCTTCACTTTCACTGGCTGCTTGGTAAAGTGGTTCTGAAACGGTAAGTGTCTCATCTCAGCATCATGCAGAGTCCCTGATTGGCTGTCATGAAGGATTCTACATCCTTCTTTAGGTTTGAAAGGTACGTTCTCAATGGAATGCATACTAGTATGACAGAAATGGAGCATAAATATATAGGAGCAGGGAAAGCATCACTGGTGTGCTTGGTTTTTATGTTAAATTTATTTAATCCTAATGGTGAGATATTTTTTCTTTTTAGGCATCTTAAAAAGGATAATTAGTTCAATTCAGTTTATTTCTATAGCGCCAATTCACACCACGTCATCTCAAGGCGCTTTACAGTTCACCAGATCATCCAGTCAAATTGATTAAAAGTTTTCTATCTAAGACAAACCAGTTGATTGCATCGACTCAATGACTCGCAGGAAATCCCTCACACTAAGCATGCTTGAAGCGACAGTGGAGAGGAAAAACTCCCTTTTAACAGGAAGAAACCTCCAACAGAACCGGGCTCAGTGTGAGCGGCCATCTGCCGAGGCTGACTGGGGTTCAAGGAGACGGAAGCAGAGATACAAAAAGCAGCTGCAAAAGGCGGCCCCGTCCAGGAAACACACATAGGCAAACAAGCTCCGAGCCAGCTCCCATGTCAGAGGACGAAGAGAGGACATCCAGCCAGTAGGGGTGTAAATCACACCCATCATGGCGACTCGATTCAGCATCAATTTCTTGACCCAACAATTCGATTATTTTCAATACTCTATAATACACCTCGATTCGATTTCATTAATTGGTTCATTTTTTTTTTTTACCTTAAAGGCTAGACAATTTTTTTTATTTGAACTAAATCAATGAAAGCTGTAATATCGTTATGCATTTTATTTGAGAAACAACAGCAAATAACAGAAGTAGAAAAGTTGTACTCCACCTAGGCCTATGAAAACATTCACTGAAAAATTATCCCTATGTGTTATAGATTCTGAAAGGCCTTGTATCAAAAAATACTGCAATGGGTGCATAAGTGCACTAGCAGATTAAGTAACAAAAAATAGAACCCAAAATACTTCCACACAAATGACTTGAACCCACAAGGGGTGTATAAGTCATCTTTTTCATGTCTATCCTGCCTACCTCTTCTTTCACCTCTGCCATCTCCACCATGTCTGTCTTGCTTACTGTTTATGCAAGTGTGTGTGTGCATGCTGAAAGAGGGTATTGGCTAAGGAGGCGAGCTAGGACGGCAAAATAGGTTTAGCACCACTGCAGCATCGGGAGTCAGAATTACCTCCAGGAGCAAATGGATAAAAATAGACCCGAGGAAAAAAAAAAGAACATGAATCGATACTCTTGCGGACGCGGCGATGAATCCGATCATCGGCAGTTGGCTCAATGCATCGATACAAAACAATTATTTACACCCCTACCAGCCAGTCAGTCAGAGAAACAGGACTACTCTGAAAAACAGGCCGATCTCGAACCCTGCTCGTGTGCTTGGCTTTTACGCTAATTTACATAATTTAATCCTCTAAGTGAGACACTATATATATATATATATTTTTTTTTTTTTTTGCTTTTTAGGCATCTTAAAAAGGATGAATACTTTTGGGTTGTGCTTCCCTGACATGTATCTGGCTGGAACAAAGAACTCCTCTGCTGTGAGCTGCTTGTACTAGATTAACTAGTATTGGATAAGCAGAGGTAAAGGTCTGGTACATTTAGGGACACATTTCCCAGTTAAACCATATTTTTGATGATTTTTGATAATTTCAGGTGTTTACTATTGAGTAAAGACAAAACTAACAAGATGAACCACCTACCCTAACATGTTTAAGTTTTGTTTATAAAGATAGAACAAGCTTCATTTTATTAAGGGTTTAAAGACTTTTGTAATGTTAACATTCATGTGTTTTCTCATGTGCTCGTTACATTTTAATTACCAAATTATGACCAAAAATGTTTTTAATGGTAGTGCTACTAGCTCAGTTAAAGAAGTCTAAGAATCAAGTTGTTGATTTCTGATTAAGCAAATCATTTAATTAATAATTTTCCAAATAATGTCTTATTCACCTCTTGGATTCACCATGATTTGAATTAGAGTCACACTTTAAATTGTTCTAACAAGCAGCCAATAGGGCATGTTTTCGTTTAATATATGAACTATTGAATATTATTTGATTTAATAACATGATAAAAAACAAGAGTACTTCTAGGTGAGCTGAAAAAAACTAACTTTTTTCACACTTTTTCCCCAAGTGAAGCAAAATGTTTTTTTTTTCTTTTTCTCTGAGGTTTTATAGGAGCTTTCAGCGAAATATAAAGAAAAGCTCTACTTTGTGAGATTCCCTAATTGTTTAGGATCATTGCTTAAAGCAAAAAATATCAGAAAAACAGGTAAAATTTGCAAACTAATGGTTTTAGAATGTATATAGGCCCTTGTCCACAAAATCTAGAGAAAAATTAAGAAAAAGGATTAAAAACTGACATAACAGAATTATAAGACTAGACTTCATCTGAAGCCTTGCAAAAGTATTCATACCCCCTGAACATTTTTAAAATTATTTAAATAACACCAACAAACTGTCTTTTATTAAGAAATGTTTTAGCATAATGTATCTCAAAATGGTGAAGTAGAAAGAAAAGTAGTATTGATCAACCAAAAACACCCTAAATGAGCTCATCCAACTTTATTTACAGATTAAGCTTGAAGAGCATTTATCAGAAAAGCAGCCAAATGTAACTCTAATGGATCTGAAACACAAGCAGGACAAGCTGTTACTATGACAACTTGTTGTTTACTTCGTAAACACGGCCTTTTGTAATACTGGGATCACAAAACCAATGAAAAATACAGATTGCAGAACATTTTCAGGAAAATTTATTGGGTTACATGAAAAACACAACGTCTGGGAGAAAAACAACTATGGACACCAGAATATATGGGATATGATTCCTCAGCAGGAATAAGGAAGCTAGTCAGAGTTGATGGAAAGGTGGAGGAAATTAAATATGCTGGAGGCAAAAAAAGACTTGTGGAGTGGAGCGAAGGGTCATCTTCTAGCATGATGACGACACTAGAAATGTTATAGAAAACACAACGTATAAGAATGAGCAAAAACGTCTCTAGGAGACTCAAAAGGGCTTAAAAAATGTAACAGCAGCAAAAGGTTTTTCTTTTTTTTTTATTTGCTGAGCCATGTATTATTTTCTTTGCAATGCTTTGCACTTATTTTTAGCCTTTTGCATAAAATTCAAAAGAATAAAAGTGAACTTCCATGTGTAAAATGTAAAAAAAAAAATTGTAGATCTCTTTACATGCTAGTAACGGGTTGGACCCCCTTTTGCCTTCAGAACTGCCTCAATTCTTCGTGGCATAGATTCAACAAGGTGCTGGAAGCATTCCTCAGGGAGTTTGGTCCATATTGACATGATGGCATCACACAGTTGCCGCAGATTTGTCGGCTGCACATCCATGATGCGAATCTCCCGTTCCACCACTTCCCAAAGATGCTTTATTGGATTGAGATCTGGTGACTGTGGAGGCCATTTGAGTACAGTGAACTCATTGTCATGTTCAAGAAACCAGCCTGAGATGATTCCAGCTTTATGACATGGCGCATTATCCTGCTGAAAGTAGCCATCAGAAGTTGGGTACATTGTGGTCATAAAGGGATGGACATGGTCAGCAACAATACTCAGGTAGGCTTTGGCGTTGCAACGATGCTCAATTGGTACCAAGGGACCCAAAGAGTGCCAAGAAAATATTCCCCACACCATGACACCACCACCACCAGCCTGAACCGTTGATACAAGGCAGGATGGATCCATGCTTTCATGTTGTAGACGCCAAATTCTGACCCTACCATCCGAATGTCGCAGCAGAAATCGAGACTCATCAGACCAGGCAACGTTTTTCCAATCTTCTATTGTCCAATTTCGATGAGCTTGTGCAAATTGTAGCCTCAGTTTCCTGTTCTTAGCTGAAAGGAGTGGCACCCGGTGTGGTCTTCTGCTGCTGTAGCCCATCTGCCTCAAAGTTCATCGTACTGTGCGTTCAGAGATGCCCTTCTGCCCACCTTGGTTGTAACGGATGGTTATTTGAGTCACTGTTGCCCTTCTATCAGCTCGAACCAGTCTGGCCATTCTCCTCTGGCATCAACAATGCATTTCCGCCCACAGAACTGCCGCTCACTGGATGTTTTTTTTTTTTTGGACCATTCTCTGTAAACCCTAGAGATGGTTGTGGGTGAAAATCCCAGTAGATCAGCAGTTTCTGAAATACTCAGACCAGCCCTTCTGGCACCAACAATCATGCCACGTTCAAAGTCACTCAAATCACCTTTCTTCCCCATATTGATGCTCGGTTTGAACTGCAGGAGATTGTCTTGACCATGTCTACATGCCTAAATGCACTGAGTTGCCGCCATGTGATTGGCTGCTTAGAGATTAAGTGTTAACGAGCAGTTGGACAGGTGTACCTAATGAAGTGGCCGGTGAGTGTATATATAAAACACCTAAAATGCAGAATCAAAAGAGTCTTCAGCACTCCTGCAAAGCCAAACCACATTAACAGATCACTATCCTGCTGTTGCTGCTGCTGTGCAAGGCATCATATCTCCACATTAAAATCATCCACTTGTTCACCTACCAAAATAAAAGCTCAGAACCGACACTGGGTTTCTTTTAAGTCAATCAGTGGACTATAGAAGACAGCAGCTCATTATTCAACCATGTGACTTTTTTTTATTGCTGCAAGAGATTATCACCACCTCTCACCAAACTCCCTCTGGCAAGTGGACCCAAGCATACCATCTGTCGTACTGGCAGGGAGCATCACTGTTCTGCTGATCAAAATCTGCTCTAATATTCAAAGAGGTTTCAAAATGGTTCCATCGCATTTTTAAATAATAACTGCATGTTCACTTTTATTCAAAATGTATATTTTTGCTTTAAAAAGTATTTCTGATTGATTAAACGAAACCTGCTGGTAGCATTTCATAATGCTGCTCCGGCAAACATATAGACAACAACTTGCTTGATCTTCAATACAATTTTAATAGAGAAAAAGCAAAATGAAAACCTCTTGTCCAACATTTTAAAATAGGTTTATGGTCTTTATTCTATTTTATTTCAGCTGAAAAATTCAAAGCAATTTCTGCAGCCCTTTAAGCTCCATCTCCCAAGTGATGGAGCAATACACACTTAAGTGAGAGAAAAAAATGTCCTGGATGTGGAGCTGCCATGTTCCCGTTCTCTAAATCACCCTGAAAGCACTGACATTTCTTTCAGCTCCCACAGGACGAGGTGTTAGATAGAAACGAAGAAAGAAATGGGACATAAAGAGATACTTACTTGCTGGGAGCTACTGTGGGTAACTAGCTGCTTTCTTTCCCTTTCCAGAAACGAATAGAAGGAGAATAGAGCTCCAACACTTTTGTTTCAAATGACTTATTTCTCCTAGGGTGCTGAGGAAATGTTTAAAAATGTATGTCTTTGCCAGGTGGAAATGTCAAAGCTAAGAGCAATGTGTTGTCTTTCTGCTATTAGTGAGCTCCTTTTGGGTTTTCATGCTTGTTTTCAGCAAGGTTTTGGAGCCCTTGGCATCTCGTCAAATGCATCAACTGGAGTGTGTTGATTCCTCCCTAGGTGCCTCAGTCTGAGCTCCTCCCTAAAGTCATAGCTAAAGAGGCTGGGGTCTTTGGTGCAGAGGTGAGCGTAAGCCTCTGATAAAGCCTTTATATGCGGTATGGTGAGCTCGGTGGGGCGCAGGACGGGGTCTACATCTGCCTTCTGCATCATCTGCTGAGTCAGCTCCAAACGGCACGCCTCTGGAAACAGCTTTCTGCAGAGATAGGATGGTGCAAATACCCACATTTAGCTGGCTTTGATATCTAAATGACCATGTAGGATTAAGGCATTTAAAAATTTTGACGGAAAGAAATTGTCCACCAGCTAAACTTGATTGAAATCACACCAAGAGCAGCTCATAAAATATTAACTTCTCTCAGGGCTAAAGACTGTACCTAATAAAACTATCCAGACTCGATTTAGAAGGCATAATTACTGACGTCCCAAAATCTTCTAAAACACTGGCATATGCTGAACTTTCTATGAATTTTTTTCAATTTTGGGTGTATGCATAGAGTATTCATAACGAGACCAGAACTTATGTCCAACCACAGCCTAACTTATGCATAACCGACGGCAGCGTAATATCCACTAAATGATGCACAATCCAGTGTCCTGTGGGGGCAGCGATGCGATGTCCTGCATAAAAGGATGTATTTGATTAACCTAGCTGTTGTTTACCGCTCACCAAAAAAAAAAGAAAGGTTTGCAGTCACTGCAGATTTAGCGTCATGTCTGCTAGGAAGTTTGTTGGCCGTGGGCGTGAACACAGGGAGGATCCATCACACTCACCTTCTGGCTCACTCTATGATAGGATGAAGTCTGGAGGAGAACTGATGGTTTCCTCCTATGAATCCCCTTTTATATCAAAATGCTCTCAATACGCCATTATACAGTAGCTATGAGTTAAAAACACGTTCAGCGGTTATCTGGAACACGTCAAATACGTTGATCCTCGTTGGAGATAAATTCTTGATAAGTGGGTAAATTATACAGAAGTCACCAGTGGTGGTTCTAGACATAATTTACCAGGGGGCTGGATGGGGCCGCTGTTTTTTTGGGGGGGTATAGAACTAAAAAAATAACACACACATAACAAACACACACAAAAAACCTAGGACAAGAGTGTTATTATAAATGAGCCATAAAGCCCAGGTTGCACACTTCTGATCTAACAGATAAAAGCTGTAAAAATTTCTCAGCACAGGTGAAGCTAAAGCTGCTTGCAATTTTTAAATAATTGTTAAAGTAAATAGTTCAGCCAAAATATTAAATTGGTGCACGGTACAAATAGAAGTCTCTTCTTTCATCATTAGAAACTGATTTAGTTACACTGCAAAAACAGATCTAAAAAAGGTAATTATTCTAAACATAATTGCATCTGCTAAATGCATCAATTTTGTTGTCTGTGTTTTCAGTACAGGGCCCATAAAAGGGGCCAGGACTAGTTCTACAGGGGCCCAGGCCCCTGTTGGCCCCTGTCTAGAACCACCTCTGCAAGTTACTCATAGGTTTTGGATAAGCTAGACGCTACAGCTTATGAGTAACTTACACTTAACGTATGTCAACGATCAAATAACTTACCTATAAATTATGCCCCATGTACAGCAAATGCTGGGAAATTTTGAGCATGCTCAAAAGTTTTCGATATACTTGTCATATGTGGACGTGTGCAAGTGTGCTTCAGCATGCTCATAAAATCTACAAAACGTACCCATAACTTATCCATCGTATGCCAGCGTTTTTGCAAGATTTTTCATACGTCAGCCTAGCGATGCACGATATTGGGATTTTGGCCGATATCCGATATGCCGATATTTTAAAACTCATGTAGCTGATAACAGATATCGATACTGATGTTAAAGCTGGACAAAAATACGTAGTCATTGAAAATAGCAGTTTTGTTATCCATTTCTGACACTTATAATATACTCAAATATATTTCCATATGCGGATATCAAATTGATTTTTAAAAACGCGGTATCGATCTATTTTACTTTCAAAATCTCGTGAAATTTCATCGTTCTGTTACAAACTCTCGTGATATTTAGCAAATTCTTGTGAGATTTTGTTAGTAAAATAGATCAATATCGCGTCAATATATCAACATATAAAAATATGGCAAAATTTCGTGAATTTTCGGGGGATTTCGTAGCATAACGATGGCATATAGCAATATTTCATTAGTAAAAGAGATTTATATGGTGTTTTTAAATGGCAATATATCAGCATATGAAGATATTGTGATATTTTAATCTCTCAATATTTTTTCCCTTTTCCCGTTTTTAAGTCTGTAAAAAAGAAGTTTTTGAGGAAGAAGAAGAAGTAGTATTTTATTTAATTTTTTAGACTTCAGAAACTCAGAAGCTGATCAAATATCGGGTTAAATATATTGGGGGGGTGGCCGATGTCCGATATTCAGTTTTAAGGTCGATACAGGCCGATACCGATAGAGGGCTGATTATTTCGTGCATCCCTACGTCAGCCCTATGCTGGCTAAATCGTTGAGCTGTGACGGGGGCTTTAGCCAGAGCTAAAACCTGGGGAACGACTGAAGAGCTTTTTTACGCATATGACTGAACAAATGTTTCAGTCGTAAGCTGGCATACACTAATAAACTTGAAGTTGTTGTTGCAGGGGTGGTTCAGCAAAGCATTGATTCCGGAGATCTTAATACAAACATATGCAACAGTTTATCGTCATGTACTACTCTGTGTTGGTGGATCAGGTAGATTCCCAATGATAGATATAATAGTGCAAAAAATGCATGTGTGAATTATCTGCAGGCACTAGTCGACTCTGTCAACAATCTCAGAAAAACATGCATAAAAACCTATTTGAATTTGAGTTATTCTAACACACTGTAACACATTAAATCATTTACTTTTGAGAATTTTTGAAAATTTTCATTTATGTTCATCGGTCCGCTAGAAAACATTAGCCACTTTCAGACTCCCTAAAGACCCTTTTAAGGTTCATCGGTTCTGAAAGCTGCCTCTCAAATTCGATGCGGCTGCCGCCAACCTACAGCTCTTACATAAAACACTCTGCCTCGTCTTCCTGTGCCACCTCAGTGACTCATAATTACTGATCCCTTCCACACAGCCTGGCTCCTTTTGTTATCCGGGCCTACATACTCTTCCCCAACAAGCACGGGGGCGATGGGCAACCATGGCATGCATGTGGCTGAGTGGGCCTGTTGCTGCTGGTTGTTAAACTGAGCTCTGAAGTTGCTTTAATGTTCAGGGTTTGGTAACAGAGAGGCTGCATTGTCAGGAATCTGTATGCATAAATGGAAAAAAAGTCAATCAAATTCCAGGCTAATTAATGATGGGAAGAGACACCGCTGTCAGGGCGCAGAATGAAAAATGCAGACAGAATGATAGATGAGGACGTGGCGGAGGCCTTGTGAGGTCCGTCAAGTGTGAGAGTTGTGCTTACTCTACTCCTTTATGGCAGTGCTTCCGGCGAAACTGGAAAACGTTCCTGACGACTTTTTCCACCAGCTTGAAGGGCTGTTGAATCTGAGGCTTGACCAGAGGGGTGAAGTGAACTACTCCCACGTCCACCTACACACACACAAAAACAGTGAGAGGAAATCAGCAGAGACCTTAAAATGGATTGCAGAAGGAGTGCTGAGTGAAGTGTTGGTGGTGGGGGAGGGGAAGGATTGGTGCATGAAATCACAGACAGGTGCGATTGGAGAGGAGAATACGGAGTGTAGAGAAGAATGGTGCAGAGATAGACTACCTGATGAATGACCTGAGGGGGAAAGCAGAAAACAAAGAGACAATGAGAGTGATCAAGTCTCTGTGCAGAAACAAAAAGAGGAGGAGGAGGAATAAGATGACGCAGCATGGCTGCCTGGCAGGTTGGGTCCAGTTGCCACAGTAACATCTGTGAGATGAACCAAAGAAAGTCGGCTTCCCTCCGCTGAAATTTCTGGGAATTTTTACAGAACCACAAGCCGGACTCCCTATTATCGACCACATCCACTGAGTGGATCAGAACACCTTTAAAGGGGTTATAGGACGAAAAAACGATTACGATAGTTCAGTGGGTGAAATGGACGTACAGAGGAGTTCAAACCCCATCACACTTCCTGTCGCTGCAAATCTCACAATTCTAAACACCATAAAACGGATGAATCCAAACAAAGGCCCGAATTGACGTGAATTCTGGGTTGTTCCTGATTTGGTTCTGGCCTTTACTTTTGTCACGCAACGAAATTGACATATAGACCACTGGTTCACTGGCCCAAGAACTTAAATAGAGGCAGATGTAAGACACTAGTTTAGCTGTTCAGCCTACAGCTGGGTTTACTTCTACAAGAATTACAAAGCAGGCAGTTTCTCTATTGAAAATGAGCAATAAATAAGCATTTTACCGAAGACAGCTTTCAAAACCTTGGACAGTTCAAAGCAGGATATGCTAAACTTCTTTTACTGAAACGAGGGGCTGTTCCAACAGTAAGGCCATCACAACTGCAAGCTGGAAGTATGATTTTGTCACTAAGCTGTTGATAGCAATGCTAGCATATCTATGGTAACCAGATATGGGGGGGAGGGGCTGCTGACTGGACCGGACCAGTCATCAGCTCCGGGTCTGGTCTGAACGGGGTAGCACCGGGCCACGGTTATCGTCGTATGGCTTCTTTGGTTAGCCTGCAATACCCCATACCTGTCTATGTCTCTGTTCCCTCTGTTCCCTCTGTTCCCCTGTAATGGGGTGGGGGGTGTGCTGATAGCGGGAAGGGATTAACTCAATTGCTGCATTGAAGGTTTTTTAAATCTGAGTCCAACCCCGCTGTATAAAGTTATTTTTTTTTTTTTACATAGATGGCTTCTCTCACGCCCGGTCAAACCAGCCATCTTGTTTGCCCCAAATGTGAACATTCAGGTCCTGAAAAGAATGTTCTTTGTCCATAAGGTGTAGATGTACTGCAGAGTCTTGTCCCGAGGAGGTCGCTCTTCTTTGTTGGGCCATGCGTCTGTGGAGAGGTTGTTTGGTTTCTCCAATATAAAGATCAGAGCATTCCTCACTGCATTGAGCTGCATACACCTCTCCGCCCATATTTGGTTTAGGGGTTTTGTCTTTAGGACGCACTAGCCTCTGTTTAAGGGTTTTGTTTGGTTTGAAATGTATTGGGATTTTGTGTTTGGAGAAAATCCTCTCACGTTTTTCAGCGACTCCAGCAACATATGGGATGGTGCCGTTTTTGCGTTTAATATCCTCACTGTCTTGTACTGCTGCGTGCCTTTTGGATTTTCTTGCTGTTTTTTTGTTGTTGTTTTTTTTTGTTTTTTTAAAGAAAAAGAGCTGGAGTTCATGCAGGTTTTTAAAAGTTACCACATATTTTCATAATTATGTCTAAGTTTTGGCCATACCACTTTCATTAGTTTGTCGTATACCACTGAAGCTCTTGTGTCTTGTAGCATATTAAAGGTTTTCATCCAGCGGGAAGGTAAAGTTTCAACCAGTCTCAAGCCTTTAGCTGTCTCCCATCTCATTTTTAACCAGCATTGAGCAGAGGGAAAAAACCTCCACAGCATGATGCTGCCACCATCGTGTTTTACAGCAGGGAGTAAAGCAAAAGGGGATATAGTGTTTGTTTTCATCTGCCCATAGCTTTTAGCATGTAGGCAGAAAAAATGTATACATGCATTGAATGGCTGTATTTATACTAGGGCTGCAACTAACTATTTTTTTGCTTATCGATTAATCTCTCAATTATTTCTTTTCAATTAATCGACTCATTTTCGGATAGCAAAAGGTTCTTTAAAGAAGTTTTTTATAGATTTAAACCAGGCAAAACTAGAATGTTTCTACTAGAGGAGTTCTGGATAGAGTATATTCACAGATGAAAAAGTTTTTTGTTTTTTTTATCTTAAATACAAATTATATATATATATATATTTCTTTTTACAATTTTGGTATAATTACTGCTCTAAGTGAGTTGCTCTTTCAGCTAAAGGTATGGTTAGTCTCTATACTCCAGTTAACAATTAAGCAATTACTAAATTACTTTACTATTATTTCAATAATCGATTAATCATGATTAATAGTTTCATCCCTAATTTTTACTGAGATTAGCTTGAACATGTGGATTCATTCATAGTTTTAACTTCCTTCTGAACACAAGTTATTTAGAGGTATCAGATTTAAAGGGGGTGAGTACCTATGTAGACGGCAATGTTCAGATTTGTTGTTTTTTTGGCAAACATTTTTGACTCCACTTTATTTTCTTCTTTTTTCATCGTTTTGCCCAACCTTTTGTTGTTACTATAATATAAATAAATAATATACATTTGCATTAAAACAAGAACAAAAAAAAAACAGCGTGGCAGTAATGTTGTCACCAAATGCGATGAAGAGTTCAAAGGTTAAATACTTTTTTTAAAGCACCATACGTGTTTAGTGGTTGACTTTTTGGACGGTGCTCATGCACTGATATAAAAAACAAACAAACAGAAGCGGTTAAATGTTATATTAGCTCTTTCTAGGTGAAAATAAAAAGGAGAAAATTATTCCTTTTAAATCATCTATTCTCATTAATCTGTAACAGAATTAAACAATACCTCATCTCCGTTCAGATAAGATGCATTTACATATTTTCTTTCCCCACCTATAATATACCCAACATTTAGAGGCAACCAATCACATATAAATGAACATGCAGGAATATATATAAAGACATTTTTTGGGATGCAGCTGAGCGGTGAATCACATCCGGCGGAAATTTGTACTGCAGCAGGACTTCATCCAGAAAAAGGAAAATTCATTGCACCAAAGGACATAATCAAAAAGACAAAATCAGAAAGAAACTTTTGTCCAGAGCTGATACTTTGACTTTACATAGATGTAGTAAATGAAATATGTATAATGACTCTCATCTTTTTCTTATATTTAGTTGCTTTTTTTGTTACTTAAATTCAACTGCTCCATTTCCTCTTTCTCCTCCACAGACATTCCAGCCATGTTTGAACTACAGTTTAAGCACCAGAGGTAGGAAACCCAGCTCCTCTTTCACACACCTGATCCTTGCTGCGTCAGTTTTCGGCTGACATTACACCATGTTGAAGGAACTCTTCCAGACTCAGAAAACTCTGCTTGTTACAAATGGGAAGTTAAGACTTATAAAAATTACTCTCACAACCTATTTTCCATATCTAATACTCCAATTCAAATTATTCATTTAATCAGAAAGAAAAGGAAAGAAATCTGAAAACATCTTAAAAGGTCTCCTAAATATCTATTTAAACCATTGAAATCCACTCATATTAAGACCTTAGTGGACACTGCTAAATTAGGATGATAATCTACTTAATAAAGCTGAACAGCTGGTTGTCAGACTCCCTGCATTTAGTTCCAGTCTTGTTTCTTTGCTAAGACAGCGCTGATGCTAATAGAAAAAGAACATTTTGAGGAGCGTGGCAATAGGATTCCATGGGGACATATTCACAGCATTAGTCACAGGAATAATAATAATGCAACCCTCTGCTTATAGATCATTTTTGGCTTTAAGTTCCTGTCCAGACTCTAAAAGGGTTTTAATAAAGTAAAACAAACATAATCATGTTTATAAATTCATTCCTGTCTGAACTGATTATCATAATGTGGGATTTTTTTTTTCCATGTTGAAGGAAAAAACTTGAGAAATGCATGTGAAAGGAGGAGGGGTTATAAATGGCACTGCTACTGCAGTTTGAGGGCAAACATTACAGCAAATCAAACATTATGCTGAGGACGAACCCCACATCCAACTCCTACTTTAAGGAGGTAAAATAAAAGGACGCCTAATTCTGCTCAGACTTCCTGGTGTGAATGCAGGCCCTGCAGAGCTCCTCATGCACCCTTCCTGCTTGTATTTCTGGATTGTGACTCACTCATTCGCAGCTGCCTCTGCTTTGGGCTTGAGGCTGGTTTCGATAATTAGGGGAGGAACGCTAAAGTGGTCCAAGGGCATGCAGAGGGTCCCTAATGAAAGTTTGAATTACCCTCCTTCTCTTTGAATAGAAGTAGCATTTGGAGAGGTGCTTTTAGACTGCAGCAGTGTCTCTCATCATATGTATAGATCACTGTGCATCCCAGAGATGGCTGGCTGTGGCTGCTGAACTTCCTGCTGCAGTGGTGTTTAATGGGCCGGCAGCAGTGGGGGACCGACTGTCTCCACAGCCCTAAAGACTGCACTACTATAGTGAGCAGGATGCTCTAAAGTCTACAGTTCAGCAGCAGATTGCTTGACAAGGATACAAAGAAGGATTTTTAAGTTGTAAAGTCATGCAGCTGGTAGATAAATCTATGGTTTTACCTCCGATGTTGACTGTTTGTCATATCAAGACTAAATGATGACTCCAGGGATTCCCTATTGTGATTGATAACCCTTTCAGTTCACCATTTATATAAAGGCTGTGCAGTAGACAACATCAAGGGCATCGATGGCCACGGCTGCATCCTTCTATTTTCATAAGGAGGACGGATTTATCAGACTGTCACATTAACATCTCAAGAATTTGATCAGGATTTCACACCCAGATCTCAAAATTTCGGTCTTCCAGTTATGCAAGAT